TTGGGATTCGCCTCCCAGCAGGAGAAAGTCTCCACAGCGCCCAGACCAGCTCTGTAGCCCCGCCTGTCCTGTTCAGTGGGTACCGGGGGCCACTTTTCCCCCAGAGAAAAAAAAAGAGCCCAGGCGTGAAATTGATCGTTCACCTCCAGCTAGTGGGAGATTAAGTATGCGTGGAGCTATACCTCTGCTCCTCCAGTATGTTTTCATGGCGTGGTGATTGCTTAAGTACAGGGACAACTTTATGTTTATACTTCCAGCCAAATATGTCCTAAAGCAGTGTGATTATTTGTAGCTAGAAATCGGAATATGCTTTTAATTGTTGTGGACCAGATTCAGCTGTCTGCTTAAATTACCGTCCTTTTTCAAACCGCATTCCTCCGATCCTCTATTGTTCCCTCCTGTCTTGATACTGGATTTTGTGTAATGAGCCACATACATTTAAATTCCTGACTGTATCCCATACTGCCTACTCCGTCTCATTGCCAGTTATTTGAAACGATTCGTGTATCAGCATTCAGAATCTTCAGCTGATTTCACGCCCACCTCGAATTCTGATATGTTTTCACGTTCAGACCGAGCTCGAGCACTGACGTGTTTTCACCTATAGAGCCAGCACTGATATGTTTTCACCTACAGAGCCAGCTTGAGCACTGATGAGTTTTTACGTTCAGAACCAACTCGAGCACTGATGTGTTTTCACGCTCAGACCAAGCTTGAGCACTGATGTGTTTTCACGTTCAGAGCCAACCCGAGCACTGATGTGTTTTCACGTTCAGAGTCAGTCCGAGCACTGATGTGTTTTCACGTTCAGAGTCAATCCGAGCACTGATGTGTTTTCACGCTCAGAGTCAGTCCGAGCACTGATGTGTTTTCACGTTCAGAGTCAGTCCGAGCACTGATGTGTTTTCACGCTCAGACCAAGCTTCAGCACTGATGTGTTTTCACGTTCAGACCCAGCTTGAGCACTGATGTGTTTTCACCTACAGAGCCAGCTTGAGCACTGATGTGTTTTCACGCTCAGACCAAGCTGGAGCACTGATGTATGTTTTCACGGCTTTCTATGGAGTTCAGGTTGAGACCTTGCCGTGTTCCTGATCCCCCATCGAAAGGCTCCTACAGAATGTCTTATCATTGTAATGGCAAGAAACAAAAAAGAAGAGAGTTAGGCGTCGCCGTCGAGAAGGCGCCATTTTTGCTTCGTGTTTGAAAGGTCCTGGTTTCAAAACTTGTCATGGAGATCTGTTGTCCTGACCTCGTGTTTTCATGGTGTCTTGCAGTCCCTCCAGGCGTACTACCCTACATTAGGCTACGTCCGCTTCCTTCCAAATCCTTTCCCATTCATTATTCACTAATCGTCCTGCCCCTCGACACTATAGGGAACTAATATTTTTGCTGTTGCTGGCATCCTTAAACCAGTGAGTAAATAGGAAGAAACAGGGTCCATATAAATATTTTTCTCACCCTCAGCTTCATCTGTAGGATAGTTCGGAGGGTGGCTCCAAGGAATTCGCAGTTAGTTTGGAATTTGTTACCATCTGGTCCACATGTGGCAGGGCCACAGCACATCGGTATGCGGCAGGCGAGGTCATCCGACAAACCGGATTCGATTCAAAGCGGAGCAACGCAAGACTGCTGCAGAGGAAACGGCCGTGGCCAATTGTAACTCATTGGCCGTCAGGCGCCTCAACGAACCATCGTTACTCACCCCAAGCTCAGCGTTCTGATAGGAAGAACTAAAAGTTTCCTGTTGAACAGCAAACCTTTATAGTACATCATTCTCGAAACTTGTACTGGTAGATATGTTTAAAATATTGGAAATATTTCGATGACTAACTGCAACATCAGTAACTGTCGTCGATTCATGTTGCTTTTCGAATGTACGTGTAGCAACACATCAGTGTCGCCGTGGATGGCACGGCCTCATTTCAACACTGCCAGTTATAACAGTTGTTGCTGTAGTGACTGAGGAAATCCTATTAACTTCAGTGTATATTTATATTAGTTTGATATTTATTTATCGATAGTTCCTTATTTGGAGCCAGGATAGCTCAGTCGGTATAACAGTTGGCTACGGGCTGGACAGCTGGGGTTCGATTCCCAGCAGAGTTAAGTGATTTTTCTTTATGTTGTATTTTAGCGTCCTGTTGCACTGATTTTCGTCCATGATATGTATGCAGTGTCCGTCTTTTAGTGCACTCGGTTTCACTTGTTATTTCACAACATGTTTCGGCACTATAGTGCCATCATCAGGTGCTCCATTTACGTTAATCTATTTCATTGCTTGCCATTATGTCATTGTAAAATTTAAAAAGTATTTAAAAATGTTCGTCAATTATAATAAATATTTATATGTTAAAACTTGTTAATATTATTTATCTTATCTGTCCCAATTCTAACACCGCGCATAGTTCCACCACTATGGGAGTCGTTCCTCTTACTCTCGGTGTATATCGTGTCTCGTGTTGTGTGTTCCCTGTTAGGTTGCGGGTGTTGTTTTTCTTTAGTCCACAACGTCCACACCGGCTCTCGGACCCACGAATCCTCCTGTTCAGCGGGTACCAGGGATTCTTTCCTCAGGTGTAAAGCGGCCGCGGCGTGACTCTCACCCTTACCTCCATCTGTACCAAGGTCGGCAGTGTGGAGCTACACCTCCACTCGCCCTTACGTTCTCATGGCGCGGTAATTGGACTTCACCTTTTACTGTGCTTTACTTTATGCTTTCTTATTTATTGAGAAATATAAATAATAATTTACCATATATTCTATTTTGTTTTACCGAATGATAATTTTTCTTCCTATAAATTTTAGTCATGATGATAGCCTACCTTTAACTCGTAGCAGACCTCACTGTCGGAGAATCCCCAACAATGTGGGGGTGCACCGTGAGGCTTCAGCCAGTAAATTGGCAGGCTACGGGCAGTAAACTGGGCGGGTATCTTGCCCAGTTGGCAGTGAGTCGCCTATCCGAGGCTTTTTTTTTTTTGCTAGTGGGGTGGGACTAAGTCCCTTGTACTGCGGCCACTTCTGGCCTATTGTACCAGCCCCAGATGATAGGTGAGGGTGATTGTGGAGCAATTGGTGGAATGAAGATTGGCAGGGGAAACCGAAGTATTCGGAGAAAGCTGCCCCAACGCCACTTTGTCCACCACAAATCCTACTTGACCAGATCCGGGATCGTACCCGGGCCGTCGCGGTTGGAAGCCAGGGAGTAACTGCTTGAGCTATGGCGCGGCCTTATCTGAGGCTTACTACTAGCTCTTTCTCTATGGTTAAAGCTGATCACCTAGTTCCGAGGTCTGGAATGTATGGAGCTTTGCCTCCACACTCCTTATGTTAAGATATTACTGAGCCGTATGATCAGCTTTATCTTATATGAGATGTGATTTTCTGGGTTGTGACATGGTGTCTGTCATGCAGAGAAATTTGGGAGTGAGCTCCACATACTGAAACAAAAAAGTTCATGTAAACATGGGTACGCAGACGCTTTCTCTCTGAGTTTGTTTTTCCTTGGCACTACAGCCCCAGTGGGCCTAGGCCTACCTCCATGAACTCCGTTCACTTCGGTTTTTCTAGATCTCATTCGGTAGGACACCTTGGGCGAGTGATCAGCTCGTCGCAAGGCCTCTGCCTGTAGACAAACACAGAAAAACGCACACAAACATCCATGCCCTCAGTAGGATTCGAACCCACGATCCCGGTTTCCAAGCGAGCGAAGACAGTGCATGCCTTAGACCGCTCGGCTACCGTGACCGCCTTCTTTCTGAGTTAGTCCGGCTAATTTAGTGATGATTCCAATTAATATTCTCAACTTCCGCGGCTCTTTGATTTCTGGCAGGGAAGAAAAAGCATGTTCACGTTGAAGGCCTACATTTTACCTTCAAACACGTTCTGATGCCGTTATCAGTGTCACTGCTTAGAAATCATTTTCGACAGCTGAGCAGTCTTGGTCGTGTGAACTGCTTGTGTATAATGGCAAACTGTAAAGGAAGAACTTTTACAGTACGTAGTGGGAAATTAGAATTTCGCATGCTGTGGTACTGTGAGTGCTGGATTATGAATGGGTATCCGTTTAACGAAAGCGCCGACATGCAATGACAGTGGTTGGAGAACTGCGCACCTCTGCCAGGAAACGTTCCCACACTGACGCCATCAAACCATAATAATTTTGCCGCCATTGATCGTCGGCTTAAAGAGACTGGAACATAGAAGCCTCTCGCTGTCAGTCGGGGAAGAGAGATCCGTCGTGACGCTTGAAGTTTAGCGTGTTCAGGACCGCGTTGAAGAGAAGCGGAGTGTCAGCATGAGACAAATCGCGGCAGAGTTCCTGGAGAGTACTACATTAACAGTTGCTCTACCCATACTGTTTACAGCGAGGCCGGAGTCTCAAGCCTGCAGACTGGGTGTCGCTGGTTTCTTTTGTCAGTCCTTCCACAAGAGGCAGTTTTTTCCTGTAGAGATGGCATCATAAATCTTCAAAACCACCACCAGTGAGCAGAGGAGAGTCCTCAAGATGTACTCCAATCCATACGTCATATATGTATGAAATATTTTTATGTGTTTGCTGTGATAGTCTGCAACAGGTTTGAGGTTATGTTAGGCAAGTTTATTTCGTGTCAGTATCTAGAATACACGAAGCCAAATCGCAGGATGAATGGTGAAATGGAGGATATTCAAAAGGGTGTGGACGTAGCCTATTCGAAGTGCTCTCACTGGATGGACTGAGAATATTCACGGATTGCCGATATTCTGACAAAAATTCGAAACCAGCATTAACCGACTTTAGTCTGCTACACCATCTCGCTTGGTGAAAATTTAATGTAATAGATTTTTGTTCTACGCAAAAGGAACCGGAAATTATATAATCGATTATTTATAGTGACTAACAGAGTTAACAACAAATACTGGCACATTAATTGCAGGAATGTGTTATACGTTCTGCCCAGGACTGCTCATTTCCAGCATTAGAAGAAATGTTCACGACCCTTTCTCTTCTGTTTCAGGTGCAAAGGCTGGCTCAGTATGAACAGTACTTTCAGTCCATCCTCTGCGAGAGCCACCATGACCATACGGACCATGAAAATATCTGCAGGGCAACGGCGAAAGCCAAACAGGTGGGCAGTATTCCGAGAATGTTACATATTCACAGCAAATCAGAGCTTTATAATAAGGAGTACAGATCCAACATGGGTATACAGGTTTGTGAAAGGATAATTGAAGTTAGACATGCAACATCTGTTTTCGTAATTGACCGTTATTGGTTTGCTTCAGCAGTTTGTCCTGATCCCACTTGACATGTTTGTCGCTACTAGCTATAAACATGAGGGCCTTATGAGTACCAGTTTAACGCTGCTGGGTCCCTGTGCCCAATTGAATATTGGAGCAGCATGATTGCTGCAGGGTTTCCACCAGATCACTCTTTGAGACGAGTGAGGTACTTGGCACACATGGGAAAGATGAGAAATTTATACCGAATTTTGAACAGGGAACCCGAGATGAAGAGACCGCTTTGAGATGGGAGAATAATAGTACAATATGTCAAGGAGAAAGTTGGTATGGCGTTATGGGCTGCAGCTGATTCTGGAGAGAGTCCACTAACAGGATGTAATGAAACTTCGGCTTCCATAAAAAGGCAGGGCATTTCTCGTCTTCCTAATCAACCCTCAGCATTCCGGGAAGAGCGTTTCTTTGTGGTATTAGTTACTTGGTTAAAAATCAGTAACCACCGTAAATGAAAGAGTAATTTGAGATGATGAAGGTATTTTTAGCTGTCATCTGGACTGTTGGTGTAGAACGACACGCTGGCCTTATGGTATTGTGGCATATAGATCAGTTTCTGGGCAGAAACACCAAAAAGGGCAACCAGTACAGCCTTTGGTATGCATTAGGTTGATAAACACTCGTTTCTATGCAGCGGTCGAGGTATTGTTGGACTAGAACAATGGAAACAGTGGTTTCTATGTGGACCGTGCCGAGATGTGAGCAGGACAGTTTGAAGCAACGAGTTAGTTGTAACACCACACTTCAGTATATGAGGCTTACGGACGACGTGAACTTAATTTTCATAAAGAACATGTCTACGACTGCTGTATGCTTGGATATTGAAAAAGTCTTCGATAAAATATCGCTCCTCGGCTTACTATATTAATTATCGGAATTAAAATTCTCGACCAGTTTAATGTAGCTTATTAGCTCTTTTCTTTCTTAGACAAAAATTCAGAATTTCTGTCGAAGGTGAAATGTCTACGCCAAGGGAAATACAAGCAGGGGTGCCGTACTGCCCCCTCATTCTACGCTCTATATATAAATGATATGCTCCAAACACCTGGTATCTATCTAGGTCTCTTTGCTGATGACCTGTATATTCGTATGCGACAGGAAGCAGAGAGAGTTATGTTCTCAGAAAGCTGCAGCGAGGTCTCATTGCTGTTGAGACGTGGTGTGAGCGCTGGAACATAAAGATCAGTGATGATAAGACTCAGGCCATCTATTTTTCTCATAGACTTAGGCCCCCTGAGGCTCGTCTTATATTGAATGGACACAATATCCCCTTCGTCAATCATGGGTTGTAATCATCGATAAAAGGATTAAATGGAGACTGCACATAGAAATGATTGTAGCCAAGGCCTTCACAACATTATTAGAATCTACTGCCTCTTAAAAAGTAAGCGTTTAAGCGCCAGCATTAAACTACCCGCCCCCCATAAGGCACTGGTAAGATCAGTAATGACTTATGCTTTTCCCGCTTGGGAATTAACGGTAGACACCTACCTCTTAAAATTACAGCGCCTACAAAACAAGGTTCTCCGAAACGCTGGAAATTTTCCAAGATGCACACCGGTCCGCGATTTGCACACAGCTTTCAACCTTCCGTATGTATACGGTTGTATAGGCAACAAGCAGAAGTACAAAATCATGAGGATGAACATGTTCGCAGTATAGGACAAGGCGAAGCCAGAGAGAAAATATAAGAGGCGGTGGTCAAGTGTACTACCGTTCAAGTTACTAAGCTTCCGTTGTAGCATAAGCTACGTAAGATGTGCATGATCTGCTTTGCAAACCCTGGACTAACAGAGGACTTGTACATAGTGCTAAAGGAAGATTTTCCCATAACACGCTATATGTGTGATACGTACACTTGACTAAAGGCCACGCATATTCACAAAGGTACAACAGACCTATCTTCGGGGCACGTGGTAGCTTAGTTCGTTGAGGCATTATGCTACAAGCGGAAAGTCGCGGGTTCGCGAGCGAATGAGGTGGATTTCTTTCAATTTACTTTCAATTTACCTTCCAACCGCACCTCTAAGAGAAATGAGTACCAGGAATCTTCCCGGTGGGTAAACGGCGGCCGGTGTATAAGGCTGACAAGCTCACCGCCAACTGTGAACCGACTGTCTAGAGAAAATGCGGGAGCCTCGACGTCTCACACCCCTGTGGGCCTTCACGGCCTGTTACAGGGATAGTTTTACGTTTTTATCCTTTTACCACACTTATCTTCTCGTCAGAGAGGGTGTTACGTAAGGACTGACCGCAAGGTTTTAGCTGAAAGAAAGGATCTTGTCGTGAGTCTCAAGGGGCTTGACGCCAGGACGAACTGATTGGCTGTTAACCGCAGATCGTAAAGTAACTTTATCTTTGACTGGAGTTGTCAGTTGAAAGTTAGCCTGTGAAGATAAGTCTAGGAGGTTGGCGTGAAATGAAGGCCAGCCTGGGACCCAGTTGAGTTGAGTTGAGTTGTAAGTTGACAGCACGGGCCTCTGTGACAAGAGGACCTGAGTGCTGGAAAGGTAAGAATCTCCACTGTTTTAAATCTTACCAAGAAACGGCTAGTGGAGACTAACAGACTGATGGCACTAGTCTGTGCGTAAGTGATCTGCAAAATGTAGTTTGAAAGGTGTGTAGAAGTGGTCAATAAATCGAATATCCAACCCATACCCTGTCTATAGTCACACACCCACAGATACGTGACAGTATTATAAACCTGTCCCTTCATAGTGAGCATTTTGTGATACATATCGTAATTCTCGAACATAAGTACTTGCCGCCTACTATTCTGTTTTTCAGGAAAGAATATAGGTACTTGAATGGTCGCTGTGTGTTTTTTGTGTTCACCGTTTCGAATTCTGAATGAGTTGACCGATTTTTACGAGACATAATATGAACGTTATTCCATAGGTCACCCCAGTGCCGTACTTTCAAATTTCCCACAGTGACTAATGCCTACGAGGCGAACGTGCGAACCTTTGTGTGATAGCGACGTCAGTACGGCGTCATATAGGTTCCACACGATGCGTGATAATCGTATCTTAAAAAAATAGCCAACTTCGTGAATGGATTTTTATGGTGGAATGAGAATTAAAATGCGGCCGCCCGAAATTTTCATTTGGTTCGTGATAATGGTCAGGGGACTATCTGAACTAGGTATCTGAAATATGTAGAGATGGGTCAACAGATTACGAATGAATTGCTATTGGTGCGTGAAGTATTACGAGCGTGACTGTAGACAGGGTTTGGATTGATCGGATTTATCTGACACACTCGCAACTACAAATAACTAAGAGAGTCTCACAGTTACACATTCCAAATATCACTGTAACTACAGCACACATAAAGTCTTCTCAGTCTTCATTAGCCGTTGCTTGGTGGCGGCTTCAACGGTGGACGTTCCCCTTCGTCTGGGTTCTCGAACTGTCCACGGCCTCAGCTACCAGTTTTTCGCTTCTCACAACTGCAAATGTGATCTAAACCAAGTCCAGGTCCAAGTCCACGTCATATTGCGACTGACGGTCCGTCAGTCAGTCTGTCTGCCTTGGTGTCGATCCCCAGCTGGGGCTCATGACCAGATATTTGTTACTGTTTGGCATTTACGGTCTTGTTTTTGTGGGGCGCCCTCTCTGACGAGAGGATGGGTCTGTCTTTTGTATATGCTGCTGGCCCTTGCCAGTGCAGTCTTTCTCGGGTCTGAGTCCCTTGGGACTCCTGATCTAAACCGAACCACTAGTCTTTGTCTTATAGTGCCGGCACGGGCCTCATAAAAAACGTCTCTACCGTTATTGCGTGTTATGTCGTTGCCGGGGAAACAGCGTGTCTACAGAGCTGTTCCCTAGCAACGGCTGTTGTACTGTCGCCTGTTTACACAGCTATTATTTGGCAGTGGGTCTACATGTCACAGTTGTAATAGATCGGTGTGACCAGAAATTCATGTAACAAGAGAGTATGCTGTGTTTTCTGCGCGAACTGCCTCTTTAAATGCAAACACGTGATAAATGTGCGAGTTGCATTATCAGTTTGAGGATGCAGGCTTCACGTTTATAAACTTGCTCGTGACTCTAACCTCAGCAACAAATGGAGACGAACGTTCAGATTCACGCTCTTCTCGCTTTCTCACAAAACCAATTGTTGAGGAGAGCATGTAGGTATGGGACCTTTATGTTTTGCCGGAATCCGAGCCCGTACCCAGTTAGTTCACTAGTCGAACTATTATTCCTCATTCTGTATGCTAATTACAATGACGGCGTTCTCATACCGGAGGCAAGGCGATTCTGGTTCATATCAGTTTCAGTGTCGTTAACTCCTCAGGTTCTCGTTAAGTTTGAACTATAATTTGTAGCTTGTAGGAATCCAGAAACCAGTTTTGCAAATGGCAGTGAGGAGCTGTCTCAACATCACATCCAACACGCGACAACTCTGAGGAGCAGAAAGCCTTAAGGAAGCGCTAGAAGTTGTTTGTGAGAGAATAATATTAAAATTTATCGTCGAGAAATATGAGAGAGGAATGTGAACTGCGTTCATCTTAAGCTATAAAAAGTTTGCGACAACAGTGATCTGCTTTTTTGGACGTTGTGCATCAGGATAGGGACCAATGATAGGCCTTTCTAAACAAGTAATAAACCGGCGGCTTCTGTAGAAAGAGTGGATATTTTGACCGGCTTAAGAGACATTTGCTTCTCAAGAAGAACTCAGCTTCATGAGCTAGGGGTTGTGTTTCAGTGCGGGGGTGATGATGACTCGTCTTGCAAAAGTTGATTTTAACTTTCTGAAAGTTCCATTCCAGAGGCTGAAAACACAAAAACACGTTATTCTGACTTAAGAATTTCTTGAATTCCAAATA